TCGCGCGTCTCGCGATCTCACGAGAGCGTTCTGCTGCTCGACGATAGGCGGCGAGTCTCGACTGTGCGAGTATGCGAGACAACATTCCGAAACAAGTACAAGTTTAACGACCGAAGAAATCTAATTGAGGCGCGAGAAGAGATGGCACCTCGAACGCGCCGCGAATCTTCCCCCCCCCGATAGAACGACTCCTGATTCGACTCGCCGCGACTCTCCATTGCACGGTGGCATGCATATAAAACAATGAGAAAGACAAGGAGACGGCGAAATATCCGACGGAAATTCGGTCGCTATCGCTAAGAATGCGACGCGCGGCGCTCTCTTGTCTGTCGTTCCTGTCCGAAGGCGCGCTTCATTTGATACAAATGGAAGACAGACTCCTCCTCTCCCGCGACGAGGAGAGACGCGGCTGACGTGGGGAATGAAACTTTCACGGGACTCTATGAAAGCTCTCGAGGAATTTCTCGAGACGTCGGCCGGGAACGGCCGTGGCGGGTGGATCTGGCAGCGCTGATGGATACGCCTCTTAAACCCGATAAAATCAGGATGCAATGACGTTCGCACGCTTTATTTTTCTCTGTTCTCTTTCCTCTCCCCCCCCCCCTCTCTCTCTCTCTCTCTCTGTCTTCTCTTTTCTCTCAGGCGCTTTGCTCCTCGCTCTCTTTTCTTCCGTCTCTCCGTTTTCCGTTAACTTTCAACATAACCCACCCTCTCGCGATATTCGCGCGCATACTCCGCCCCTCACAAACACGCTCGCAGGCCAGCGCTCTGCCGGAGAAAATTGGCCGCGCGCGCCTCAGCTCGGTTCGGCTCGGCTCGGCTCGGCTCGCTCGTAAAGCCCGGGGTATCCCGGGAAAATGAGAACTCGCGTGATCGCGCTTTGATCACGCAAGAAACCGCGACGCTGATCGAACGCGAAGCGGCGCGAAAGCATCCATCAGCAACTCGCAGCGCGGCGAAGTATCGATTCGCGGCGGTAGCATGCACGAGGGGGTTTGCGCCCCACGTCTCGGCTGGCCGAGTCGTGTTGCGTTACGTTGTACGTTACGTTACGTTATGTTACATTACGTTACATTACACTCTCGTTACGTTACGCTCTCCTTCCAATGGCAACAATTATATAGCTATAGTCATCTTCAGGATCTTGGAGAGGGAACGGGTTGACGGTGTTCAGCCCTCTTATTACCGATATTCACATCCGTCTCGCTCTACCGCAGGATTAACCGACTTAACCGTTAATGGCGGATTCCTCCAACAAGTTGATGAGTCCCGTCTCTGATACTAATTTGTCGAGTTCCGCGATAGTCCTTGAGTTATAATCGCTTTTCGATACTGGTCGCGGATCAATAAGGTCGCGACTGTTTTGCGATTACGGCTTAAGGTGCGCTGGGGAAAATTTGCTTGTACAAATAACGTCCGTTGAATTACAATACAGCGCGGCGCAAATTTGCAAGTCGCGTAAAACTCGCCGTTTCTTTCCGCGCGAGAGACGTCCGCTGTACAATCGTGAAACTTTAGCGCCGTGGAAGTCGCGTGCGTTCGCACGGACTTCGCGACGAGCGATGTAACGAGCAGCAGGAGCCTCGCGTTTTACAATGCTCGTGTAAATTACTGTACGTAATTATGCGCCGCGCAAACAGATCCCTGCGGGTCGGGAAATATAATTACCGCCGAATGAATCGCGTGGAAATTTCTGTGACACGCACGCACAATTATACCGGCTTCATTTGTCGGAAGGAGTTTAAAGTCGGTCGCGCAGGACCTTCGCGTCGCGCGTGGATTTACCGAGTTCCGAGGAGCGCGGGCGCGAGATAACGGCTTCCCATACGATGGATCGTAAACGCGAGTCGCAGGAATATCCCTTTCGGAGAATTGCATTTGCGTATCGCTCTGGAATTGCGCTTCGTGGCGGGGATCAGGCGGGAGGACGCGAGAAGTTACGAGAGGTCACGCAAATCGACCGTGGAGATTTAAGTAATTTGGATTTTACACCAGAGTAAATTCTACGCGAGTAAATTCTCTCTCCCTCCCTCCCTTCCTTCCTTCCTTCCTTCCTTCCTTCCTGCCTTCCTGCCTGCCTGCCTGCCTGCCTGCCTTCCTTCCTTCGGACGAGCGAATTTCTTACTATCTTCACTCCGGAACCAATTGTCTGCTTCCGCGTTGCGTCAATCGCTATTGTTAAACTTTAATGAAGGCTCAACGAGATTGCCGCTTATTTTCCGGTAAATATACCTCGTTCACATGAATGCAGTTCGAATAAGCAGATTAGTCAAAATATTGATCTCTCTGTTCCGCTTTGGCTATAACCTTGTAATCGTGGATGATGCTCTATAATGATATTGCGGTAAAATAGTATTGAATAATTTACTCCTTTCATTATATTCTACTCCTGCGATACACACGCGAACTGACTCTCTACCCCATTTTTACGGATTAATTTCTGCTTTTCATGTGTAGCGCCGTCGTATCGCGATATCGACGCGGTCTCGCAGGTCGCGTCAGGTGAAGAGAGGCGATGCGTTGAACGAACGGACGCTCGTTGACCTGTCGTTGTTTCGTTCTCACGAGCTGTGTTTCGTTGTGAACAGCCGGCCGAAATATCGTCGAAATTTTGGCTGAATATGCATCCACAATGCGTCCACATTCCACGGCCCTCGGTCATTTCTGAGGGAGAGAGAAAGAGAGAGCTAGTCGCGGTTGCGAATTTCAAGGAATTGCCGTGCTAGTCCTCGCGAGACTCTGAAAACGCGATATTATTCTCTGCGCAGTCCGAATTGGACGCTCGGTATTATGTCGAGTATATTACCGACAGCTCTTTCTCTCTCTCTCTCTCTCTCTCTCTTTCTCCATATCTGCAAATTTTATCTTCGCCAATTCGTCCGTGGAAATTTTTAGTTGCCTTGCGCGATATTTTATCGGCCGACACTTGAGCTTGCACGCCGCGCGATAAGCTCTCGCGATATTACACGTCATGTCGGATTCCACTTTGGTCAGATGACCGAATTGTGATGGAAGGATTATCCCTATAAAAACTTTAATGAAAGCTCATTTTCGCTCTGTCTCGCATATTCGTAAAATATAATTTTTCGCGGAAAAACCGATATGTGATAGAGTTATGGTATTTGCGCTTTTGCCGCGCGTTCCATCGCGTGAGAGACGAACCGCCATCATCGGGAAACCTCTGCGTCATTAATGTATCATAAACGCGTTTAACAGGTGAGATTTGCGGTTGCCAAGTAGCGACGTTAAATCTGCGATAATTTACTGTATATTCAACGGGTCTCAACGAGGCGCGACTTAACGGCTTAGCTCATTAATTTATGCGCGCCTTGTTAGCCATAAGTGCTTCGCCGTCGAGCAGATACAGGAGTTAAACGCACGATACGAACTTCCACCGGAGTCACTGAGCAGGAAGGTTTTGCCTGCTTCTTCGTGTTTACCGACATTTCGTCTCACGCCATTTCGGTCGACGACTGCGGTCGGCGAACGCTGCCTGCCAGCTTTCAATACGAATATTGTGCCGTATCGTCGACGATTTTTGCCCCCATTTTGCGCGCATCTTTTTCGACACGATCGGTCAACTCTTGTTTCGAACAAACTTGCGCGTACGCGCATGGCAATAACACGAAATCGATTATTACCGCGATAGAGCACAGCCTAATAGGATCTTAAATGGCGTCCCTTTATCCCAACTTCATCACCGGTCTAACTTTAGGCTAAGCACAGTCGCAACACCGACTGAAATTTCGTCCAAGTTTGACTATGTAATTACTACGCCAATTACTCAAGAGTCTCTCGTACCACTTTCCTCCTCACGCCTCCACTCCGCTCCACTCTCCTCTCACCTCATCTCTTTCTCTTTGTGACAATTTGGATTTTCACGATAGTTTCCACAGGAGCATCTTAACCCAACTCGTAAATTAGCCATCACGAAATATCCGTTAACTTTATATAAGCTATTGATTTTACACACCGGTTGTATATATATATATATATATATATATATATAACGCGCGAGATTAACCACCATCTTACCAGCTGCAGCGATATTAGCAAAGTTTGAAAACATTTTATACACACAGAGATAATCGATATTATTCGGTGACTCCGAAAATGTGGCAGGCAGGCAAGCAGAAAGTAAGGAAGGAAAGGCAGGAAGAAAGGGAAGAAAGGAGCGCTCGTTCCTTCGGATCGATCCGTTCTCCGATCTCCGGCAGGAATTGATTATGCATAATACGACAAAAATCCAAATGTAACTCGAAAAAAGCGAGCTCTTTGCGAAAGGGCGTGAAATCGGGCTAGGATTCGCGTGAAATTCTTTCACCGCAGTCTCGACCCGTCTGCAGTCTTCTCCGAGGACATTCTAATCCGCATTAATACGCGGGATTATTGAATATCCTGACTGAAATATGTCTCCGCGCGGTAATACATCGCGAATAGCTCATCTCAAGCCACAAGCACATTCCGATCGGCAACAGATACCTGCCAATTATCATGCCTATAGACCCTATAATCATTTAGGGACGTAGCTAAGCAGTTGTCGATTATTGCAACATTCACTCGGCCATCTAATGTATGTCGCTAACGACCAAGTGCGCCAAATGACGGCCTGCTAACGAGGTCGTAAATTCGCAGAAACAATTTTTCCAATTACCGCGCTGAAAACCCACCACGTCGATAAAAATTCTTCATCGCCGATGAAGATCCGCTCGAGAGTCTCGTTATCCATTTGTTCATTTGAAAGTCATCTTAAGCGTCCTCACTGAAGGACGTGCCAATTACAGCGCGGCTGCTTTCCGCGCGAAAGTTTATCTGCGCTCCGATAACCATCGGATTATCCTCTCGGTAATCACCGGCGACACGGACAATCGCGCTCGGTCTCCTCACGACCTCGCGTCGGAACCTCGCGTTCGACCTCACTCACTGGCGATCTTTCCCTTTTTTCTCTTTTTCTTTTTATTTTTTTTTTTTTATTTTTTTTTCACGGCGAGCTCACTTACCACATCGATGAGTTGCGAGAGCTTGAGCTTGATGCACACGCGCAGCACATCCGAGGTGTTCACCACGGGGCGTACGAGCTTGTTGTAGTTAGACAGCAGGTCGTCGTAGAGACGCTTCGCGTCCGGATTCCCGGCGACGGCTCCGTGAACGACCAGCGCCGAGAGAAACCACACGCGCAGTGTTTCCCCGATTATGGGGGGCATCATGGTCCCCTGATTCCTCCACTATGAACTACGCTCCCAGCCTGTTTTGCGGTGCCCTCTCTCTCTCTCTCTCTCTCTCTCTCTCTCTCTCTCTCTCTCTCTCTCTCTCTCTCTCTCTCTCTCTCTCTCTCTCTCTCTCTCTCACCCTCTCCCCCCCCTCTCTCTCTGCCTTTCTCTCTTTCTCTTTTTCTCTCTCTCGCTCTCTTTCTCTCTCTCTTTCTCTCCCTCTCTCCTTCCCTCTTTCTCTTTCTCAAACGCGCGAACCACGTATCTATGTGAAGATAGATGGAGATCAGCCGTGTTGTTTCCTCGCAATTCGCATAATACGTCCGAGCGCGAGCACCGCTTGGGAATCCCTCATCCATCGCAAATATCTCACTTTATCTTTATTCCCGGGACTTTCGTCTCGCTCTGAAGGAAACTATTACAACGTGCAAAATAAATCCGTCATCAAACGGGATTTTCCTATTCAAATAAGTCGTCTGATTATAAAACTAAATAAAGTCTGAATGTAAAACAGCTTCGACTACCGGTCCGCGAGAATAAATGAATAAACTCAGAAGTCACCCTCTCTTCCTGCATATCGCGAATATAAAAATTAAGAAGCATTGCAATATCATGAACGTCGCGACATCGCGAGTTCGCTGTAAACGAAGTGCAAGAAGGCAGGATTTTGTAAAGCGGTAAACGCGACGAGAAGAGGCGATTTCTAATCGGGAATGTTTAGCCGATAAAAAGACGGAAAATTTGTCTGTCCCGAAACACATCGACGAGGGGGGGGGGGGCGGAGCGTTTAAATTCCGGAATACCTAGTAAACGAACGCATAAGCGTAACTCTAAGCCGAATCGCTATATCACACCTTGCCAGACTACACACTTTGTTACGGTATGTGCAATTCCCGGCATATAATACACCATGGGCTGGAAACGATACAACTTGGTTCGCGGACGGATTTATGGATACAAGTAACGAGTTCAATCTCTCTCTCTCTCTCTCTCCCTCCCTCCCTCCCACTCCTTCCTCCTCCCTTTTCTCTTGTTCGTGTCTCTCCCTTCGTGCTCGCCGACCGTTGCCGCGTAAAAAAATTCCGCTACGTTGAATATAAAAATGATGTCGCGCAATACGAAGGGCTCTCTGCGTTGCCGCGAAAAATTTAATCTATATTTAAATGTAATTTCCTCCTCTCAGTTTCTTGATCGCTTCAATGCGGGACGACATGACGTTTTTCCGCGACAGATTTGAGGGATTAACTCGTCCGGTGATTACCGCCGCGACAAAGCCCCCGCGATATCGATAACGGGAAACGCGACCGGTAATCGCGACCATGTATGCGTAACTACGATGATACGAGCAGCAAACCGGAAACAATGACGGCGAACGATCCGCGATCGCGAACCGCGCCATGCGTAACGACGTTAAAGTGTTCGCGTGTGGAATCGAGCGACGATTAACGGCGGGCCGACACTTGGCATAGTCGGGCATTGATTTTCGACGCGCATTAGGGCCGCTAATCCGCGGCCGCAAATCGCACCACCATCCGTCGTGGATCGGATTGATCGTACGGTGGCAAATCGCGAGGCGCGATCCCTCGCTAGCGCCGCGCCGCGCGTTCCATCCGCCGTCCATCCGGGCCGGGATTTAACGGAGTCAAACGAATAGAACGGCTGACCGCGTCATTACGCGATTTACATCGCGGCGAGTCCACCGCGAACGCCACGATTGAACGAGTTAGCCGGCCAATTTTGATCCGCCCCGCGTTCGGGGCGGATAGTTTATTTCACCTACTCGGCCCTTCCTCTCCCACCTATCTCTCTCTTCTTGCTATATAATGTTGTGTCAGCAACGACATGAGTGACGATGTTGCGCCGCGAAATTCTAGCGAAATTACAACGGCCGACGGACGACTTTTAACGCTTTACGCGCTCGCTCGACACCGCTGATACGTCGCGCTAAAGAGCGCGAATTGGATTTTCTACGTAATACGACTGCGACATGTGTTGCACGCGGAAAAAGAGCATCGCTATATCGCTATATCTAGGAGAGGGATCCTAGATTGTGCTCCGACCAGAAAAGCCACAAAGTGAAAGATTTTCAACTTGAATTTCACAATATATTATCCGCAGTTCAGCTCAAAGTGAGCGATAATGAAACTTCGAAACTACGTAGCTGATTTTCTTCTGTCCGGTTGGAAACCGGATTTTCGTGTGCGACGCACTTTCTCTCACACACTGACGTCATACTCGTTCATATCCGGATCCGATAAACTCGCGTCGATATGCAACATCGTTTGATTCGTTTGTCGCGGACATACGGCGCGGGATTAGCGCCGATGAAACGCCGCTTCTCTCGTTTCGACGATTAGGATTATCTGCGCGGATTTTGCCCCTCTCATCCTTCGCGAATTCACTTGACGCGCCGATATAGCGACGTTGTATCCCACCGCGATATTCGCGTAAATGGGAAATTGATACTCGGCCATTGATGTTTCAATCAGACAGCTTCGAGAGCGTCGAGATTTCCGCATTGCGGCGACGTAACTAGAGAGAGAGAGAGAGAGAGAGAGAGGGAGAGAGAGAGAGAAAGAGAGAGAGAGAGAGAGAGAGAGAGAGAGACAAGGGCAAGCATTCCGCATCATAAATTTTACGGTCGGTTCGCGCGTTGTGTTTATCCGGCACATGTTAGTAACGATCGCGTCGTTTCTTTCTGCCCTCTGAGACTCATTTCGACTGTTCGCGAGTGAAAAAGACCGACAAATATAAACGGATTCGAGGGAATCGTCGTCGCTGGGGCACGAGTCCTCGCAAAGTGGTCGAGCGGGCATTTTCTCTCACCTGCCGTCAGATGGGCTACTTTGGGATCGTAATTCACGTCAACGTCGACGCACGCGGCCGATACGACGCGATATGAACGACGGAATTTACGCGGGTACATACGCTCGACGACGAGGAAGGATCGATCAACGCCCTGGTCCCACTTCGTCTGCCACCGCGCAAATGTCTAATTGCTGTTACGGCGCTAACTGGGTCAACGGTATATTATTTCAAATTAGCGGAGGAGTTGCGCAGAGAAAGAGAGAGAGAGAGAGAGAGAGAGAGAGAGAGAGAGAGAGAGAGAGAGAGCTGACCTCGCCGTGTTGTCATCAGGATTTGCCTTACATCTCTGGTAAAATGGTAGTATTTGGCGGGAGGGAGAAGGCGGAGGTTTCTACTTAACGTGAAAATCAACTATCAACAGCCCTCGAGACTGACAATTTTTTAATTAATGTCAGAAATTATAATTTGAATATTTTTATAAATGAATATTTTTCTCGTTGAATCGCGATAACTCAGTGAGGAAGATATTTTCATGCGAAGCATGAAAGTTTCAATTCACCGGGTGTCGTATGTGTAATTTCTAAATTTCTAAATTTCGTAAAAACTCTATAAATTTTTCATTTCTTTTTTCTTTTTTGAAACACGGGTAATTTTGATAAAGATTAAGCGTCTCGAATCAATATCTTGCATTCAGATATCAGGACAAGTTTTATATAGTCCAAAAGTCTTGTCTTCGCGCTACTGCGACTAGCGTCGCACTGATTGCCATGCTCTTGAGAGTATTTCTCTCGGGACATGTTTCACGAATCTGCAATGGAAAATCCGCCGAGAATGACCTCTCGAAACTCGCATAATTCGCGCATCGAGCAATCAGTGTCGTAACGGTTCAAATGGATTTGAAACTGCGCCGGTCGAGCACAGGTTAAACTCCGCTCCCTTTCCTTGTACCGCGCGTCCTCCCGCCCCTCTCTCTCCCCCCCCCTCTCTCTCTCTCTCTTTCTTCCTCTTTGGCTCCCTTTCTGTTTCTATCGGGAAAGTAAATTACTTTATAGCGCTCTTTGTGATCGCGCTCGAGTGCCTCCGAGTAAGGACCGTTTCGTGTGCGCGAGCGAATTCGATGGAAATCGAGACAATGAACTCGGATTGGCAGTCGATGCCGTTGTTGGATTAACGATCGACCCGGCTGACAGTTTTTCCTCCGCCTCTATTTGCATTCGTAGCGATCAGAAGATTTTCAATGCAACTTTGGTTGTTGCGAAGCATCGTGAAAAACGGTTTACCGCACGCGTTGACGTGTATGTTCTCACGTGCAGCTTTACGGCGACTAACGATACGTTGCGTCGCGATAATTGATTACCGTTCGGAAAACGATGGTCACAGCGTCGTGTCCTCTTCGGTCGCGGCAACGAGCATTTTGCAACGAGATACGCGTCGTTTTGAGGAGAAAGTTATCGGCTGGAAAAGACACACAATGCAACGTTTTCAGCGCGCTGCCCATCGCCGAAACTGTTTCAGCTTTAACAGGAAGGGTGAAGTCGGGAGGAATGGGGGTTGCGCGGAAAATAGAATTGAAAACATTCGATCGACCGCACCGTGAGCGGCGAGCCAATGATCGCGAAACCACGTGAAGTTTCTATTCTTGACAATCCATTAGAAAGACTCAGACGGTTATTGCACATTGCAGTGTTCACTTTGGGCGCATAATTGAGAAGATCCAGAATGCACTCCACCGAGGATGAAAATTTAAATAGGAGCCTGTCAGGAGGTGGGCTTTGTCGATCAATTCGTTCAAGCTTTTTGCACGCGTGTTTTGATATGCGTACCGCGTGCGGGAACTCGTGTGAAACTTTTGAGAATCTGCTGTTCTAATTGTCATTACGATTAAATACGAAGTATATATATATATATATATATGTATATATATATATCCGCAAATCGACATATGTTAAACCGACGAGACAGACATTAAAGTTTATTATAATTCGACCGGCAGTCACTGTCGATGGAGGTAATAAACGATACGGTCTCCATTTCCGAAAGCTCTATCGAGAATAGCATATCGACGGAAATTAATCCGAAATAAATCACTGTCGATTATTGTTATGAGAAAAGAAGTTCATCGGAGAATATTAACTTTGCTGTCCTTTTGAAAAATGATATAACAATAATTAATAAAATTATGAACAAAA